AGAATTGCGTTCTGGAATACCAATTTTCAATATGCTTTTACCTGATTAAAAATGCTTTTTTCTATATACACAATCTTGCTCGAATTGCGACTGAACAAAGCTACTCTCTAGATCGTAAGATTTTGGGAATAAAAATTTCCGGTACACGTCGAAATACGATTAGACAATTCAATTTCTCAGCTTTTGTTCGAATTAATTGTTAACTTTTCAAACATTAAAGAGCTGGTGTTTTTTTTTTCCAAGAGAAACTCCGGAAGAATATCGTCACGAATATCGTATAAGGAAGGAACAGAAGTAGGAAGGAACGCGATGTCTCGAAATGGAAGATGTTTCGCGAACTAGCTCTGAAAATCGCGATCGTGGCGATGATTCGCGCGAAGCACAGGGTTGGATGCGACGCGATTCAGCAGAATCCGAAATCGCTGACTGCCACGCGGTTCTGTTTCCCGTTCTCGCGGTTTTATCCGGTGCTATCCCCGGTGGCTTCCGTGTTTATGCCACGCGAACCACCAGTTTTGCCGTATCCTCCTTTCGACCGGTTCTCTCATCCCTACCAGAGACGATTATACGTCATAATTTCCGTTTAATTGACTAATATCCTCGCCATGGCGGCCAACAACCGGCCGAAAACGATAGTCGGAACACGGTTCTCTGTATATTAGGTTACGTTATAAGCGAGGCATTATCGCGTTATTACAACGGGGTGAAAACGCCAGTTGATCTCCTACGTATACACCGCGAATGTTGTAATTAAAATTTGTTGCTCCTACCGTGTTCGGAAACTTTGATTATAAAGGTTGATTACTGGTTGCATAGGTGGTAAGAGATGTTACGTTAGGTTATTGTAAACTATGATGGAAGTTTCGGTTGATCTGTTTAATGGATAGTACACGTTACATCATGGGGTTATTACGGGTATTACGATATCAGTTCAGCGGCTACTGGCATCGGATAACCCCACTTTTGATCTTGCTACGGATACATTTTGGCGGAGATTGTATTAGATGTTATAGGAGCTTGAGGAAAGTTTAGAAGTTAAACTACTTTGGTAACCTGTTTTTCGAGCAGTTAACTTATTTGCAATCGTTTTAGCCAATTGACGAAAGTTCTATTAGGATGTAACTTCATATTTGGTTTAGTAACATTTATATTTAGTACGTTCCGAGAGAAACGAAATTCCACAGAAGTAGTTAATCTTTTTAGCTGATATTAGATTGTAACAGTTACCATATGTATCATAAATTTGAATCATCGTTATTGATACAATACAAATTGCAATAAATATCGTAAATTTAGTAGAATCTATTTGCAATGACGACTCTAGACAGTCAATCGATCTAAAGTCTTCTTTAAAAGGACAACAGTTAACGAAGACGTGGGAAATCTTACATTAGAAATAAATGCAAGTCGTCAAACAGGTCTTAGAATAAAATCGAACTTACCTTGGCACGTTTGGTGTACTTCAGGTATTGATAATGATGATTATCATAGTTGAAGACATGAGGAGTCAAAGTGATGTCACGGTTCCGCGACATCTTGCCAGAGAGTGATTTCTGTCTTTGCAGCTGCATCTTCTTGTTGTGTGCACGCAGGTCGGCCGCTGGAAAATTCAATTCGTAACGTAGATTTTCATAAACCAAATGCTCGATGAAGCAAAAATCGTGGGAAAGTTCACCGCTGAAAATTCAGAATGGCGAAACGAAGACTCATTAAACGCGTGTAAATAAATGAGCATTTGCATTCGACACACGCGGCGACAAGTTTTCCCATGATTTTTAAACAAACGCGACGACACTGTCGGCCACAAAGCGATAAAACTCGGTTGTCGACGTTTACACGGCCGTTTCCGAATATTTTATGCCTTGTCCGCCGTAGCTTTATTAGCCGACCTGTGTTCGTTCGCATCGCGTTTAACTGCCAATGCTGTTTTCCGCCCGTATCTACAATTAAACATAAAAACGGAGGTGAAATGGAAAGTATTTAAAATAACATTCGACAACATCGAGTTAATCTCTGAAGGTATCTCGAAACGTTCGTGGATGTGGATATTTTCCAGTAATTTCATTCGATCGATGTCTTGAACATACATACGTGTATTGCCACTTACGCAGTTAGATTGACGTTGATAGATATTTTAACTTCCGTTCCTCGAATATAACCGAACCATCAATTCGGATTTTCTCAAACAATACCACGATAATCTATTGTTTCAGAGAAATATATGGATCCCTTCCATTATCTTCAAACTGTACTCTTACTTATGTAAACTAGATTGATGTTGATGGACTTTATGCATCTCGATTTCTAGAATAACATAATTGAAAATTCAACGTATGAAATTTTAATGGACAACCTTAACAGGAAATATCGTAGGAAATACCGCAGAAAAACATTGTACGATATACGCTTGTCATCTCATTTACGATATACGCTTGTCATCTCATTTACGATATTCCATCTGATTAATTAAGCGATGTGTCAAGTTCGTCTTTGTATATCGAGAAAGAAACGAAAATGATAGAAATGTTCCTGAACTCCAAAGCGTAATACGTTTCCTTAGACTCGGACTCGTTCGTTCCTCATTTCGAGAACACGCGACCTCGTACGCTTTAACAGTGACATTATTGTTCTAACAGGCAATTATGAATATTCATAGTAGATGTGTTTGTCCGTGGAAGCAGGCGGAGAGACGCAAATACGAGCTCCACTGCTAAACCGACAATGCGCGGTTGCTTATGAATAAACTAACGAATTAATTCCGCCTGTAAAATCAGAAAACGTTCGCGCGAATTCGAGATTACGAACGGTTCGTTAAGGTAATTAAACGTCTCCCCCACCCCTATACGCGTCCTATTTTCAAAATATATAATAAGAAAAAAGAATATTGCAATTCATTCATTACAAAAAAAAAGGAGAAATAAAAAAGAAATAAAGAAATAAAAAAGGTTGTTCTGAAAAGAGATAAGAAAAAATGTTTCCATTTATAAACGTGTGAAAATTCGTTTTGGGAAATTGATCGGGGACGTTCTCCGGTTTGATACCGCTATCGATATCGATTCTGGATTTTCGATACGCCACAAAGGAGTATCCTGGAACCATTAATTCGCCTCTCAAAAGCTGTCTGCGATAAATCAAACCGGCTTTCTGGATAATAAATCGAGTTTGCATGGCCTATATTCGCCTTTCCCTATCTTTCGTGTATCCTTCATTCCTGTATCCCTTTTTACGTAACATCGCGAAAGCTGCGTTTTGTTATGCTAATTCAATTTATAACTTTTTTGCAATCCATGAATTTTGTACGTCTCGATCGGAAAGAAGACTTTTAACGTATTAGTTCTAAGACGTTTCAAGTTTTAGTGGGTTTGCTAATGTCTCGAATGAAACGTGAATATTTTCTTTTAATATTTTGCGTCTTATGGTTGAGAAAAGCACGGTCCGATCGAAAATGAACGCAGAGAGAAAATGAGCCGAAGCGATCGAATGCAACGTAATCGGTTAATGCTAGGAGAGAAATATCAAAGTTTTTCGGTATCTCGAGTATTTTAAGCAAATTCTACACGAAGTTGACCTGAATACTTCGCTGCACGCGAAGAGAGGATGTCGCGGATAAATTGCCCCACGCGAGTTTCTTCAAGGCTGAAAGAACTGTAAAATTCTTCTACTTTAGACTTTCACGGAAATCTAATTTTCAACTCTTGGTACTTTATCTTGGCGGAAACTACTGTATAAACTTCTACATCTCCTCCAAAATTTTATATCAAGTTAGATATATGTAGTTTTTATTCTGGACGCTTTAAAAGGGTGCGCTATGCAAATCAGGGCACGCGAGTTTTTGTGAACCCTGAAATAACTGTAATATCGTTTTACGTTAAGTTTCGTTGGCGTGTTTGGCGTGTGATTAAATTCAAATAGAATTTATGTAGAAATGATTAAATTTATTATATACTACTACATAATAATATTTAACTACAGAGTACCATCTATTTTCGTGCGAGTTTCTACGTGGACTGTGGTAAAAGGAAATTTATGTTATTTCAAAATTAAAACGTTCTTTCTGAAATGGATAGAATTTCATACTAAATGACGTCGTACTAATAATTAAATTATATTCTGGCATGAGAAACGTACATGTGATACGCCACGCTCAAATGTCATTTGACACCAAGGGGTTGATTTCTATTCCGATCCCATATAGATGATCCCTATTTTTAGAGTAACTTTTTTTTAATATTAAACTTTATGAGAATCAGGTCATTTGTTATTCGTTTATCCACATACATATTTTAGAATATAAAAGCTACATCTCTATTGATTTTTTGATTTTCATGTCGCTTGAAGGATAAAAAGAAGCATTTGTATCTGTCGTAGCTAACAAGAGGAGTACAGCTAACACAAGTCTTTAAAGAACCATGTATAATAATCCACTGATTCGTTTGTAATAATATACAAAATACAGAAGACATAGGTAAAGACATAAATAACGTACGTCGACTCGAAATCAAACTAAAAAAAGGAAAGTTTCAAAAATATAAAATCGATTGCCAATATATTGAATCCTAAAATTGGTCTTTTCATATACAAATGAATCTTTACCAAAAATCTCGTATACAAATTCTTCGTCTCAAGATTCGTTTTCATAGTTGATGGAATTTTACCAAAATAACAACGAAACTAAACGAAACAATACTCGATCTCTAATTTCTCTAATATTCTATTATTCCAAATTTTTCTTCCATTCAAATTCATTGACCAAATAGCAACATCTGCTCTATCCGTATCACCCGTTTTACCTTTTAACTTGCAACAAGGCTTGTTCCATAAGCAGTTTGATACGTAAGAACGATGTTCACGCGAGCTCGAACCCACTGACACCGATTTCCAGCGTTTAGAAAACGTTTCCGCGACGAGATACACGCGATCCTCACCTTTGCAGGGGCAGAATCCTTTGCAGGCGATGCGAACTGACGTGTGGTGGATGCAATTGTGGTATTCCAGTCGGCATGGCGAACTGTACGTGCGATTATCGCTTCCGCAAAGGAACGTTGGCTTCACCACAGGACATTCTTGACATCTGGAACAAAAGGGGGAAGCACGCGCGCGCGCGTCGTTAAATGAAACTGTTCTCCGCGCAACGCTTTAATTGCTCGAGTGCATTTCCCTTCTATTTTCCCTTCATTCTCCATTTCCATAACTTTGTTTCCACCGCACGAAGTGGACGATATTAAAATACCGCGAACCTACGCTCCCTACGAGCAGATTCTCACATTTTTAGATCTTTCAGTTTCCCCTCTTTTAACGATCTTCCCTCGTTTTGATAAACTTTCGCTTGGTAGTAGACTTGCAAACGCGGTATTTTCCTGCTTTGCATTTGTCGTCGTTGATACGACTGCAATTAGCGACTCGTTGTTAATATTTCATTTCTGATAATAAAAGCAACGTCTTAGCTTTGATATTACAAAATCTGTGTTGTCCCTTTATGCATTTTTCCATGTCTCGACTAAAGTATTAGCGTTTGTCGGTTATAAGATAGGAGACGTGTTATTTTCGTGCAATGGATTCGATTATCAGTTTATAATCAGCCGTGTCCACTACCAAATTTCCAATTTGCCAAAGAGAGAACAAACGTATAAATTTCTTTAGATTTAATTACGAATAGTTAATTACGAATTTCCAGCAAGTAGTTGAAGAATGACTTTAATATTTGGATCTATTCTTTCATTCGCTCAAACTGTGTCGATTATGCCATACAAGGATAATAACCAAGACAAAGATGATCATGCCCTATTCGTTAAATAGAGGAATTTCCTTCCAAACAAATCTACAATGTTTCCAAAACAAGTCGAAATAGCTGGCTTTTAACGTAATACGATAAAAGGCGATTCAGAGCAGGTTTTTCATTAGCGTAGCATAGCTTGATTAAAAAAGTAAATTACTCTATTATTCCTTTTCGTATCTGTTTCTTTTTTCTTTTACTAGAACAAAGGGTAATTAAATGGATTTTGCATATAACGAGGAGCGTTCCTCAACGTAATAAAGGAACTGTATTAAAAACTAAATTTCGCTTTTCAGCCTGTGTCGTGTATCGTAATTATATAACATAATAACGTCGATAAAGTACTGGGAGCAGGGATGGTTGAGTTCTTTGTCAAAATTCGCTCGCCATACCCTCCCTCGCGTAGGGCGGAAAAAATTCCGGAATTTCCGTAATGCTAGACGAGAGAGAGAGAGAGAGAGAGAGAGCTTCATAATCGTTAAGCACTGCATCGTCGTAACACGAAATTACCAGGCTGTAAGGGTTGGGCGCCAGTCTGCGCGCACCAACAATGTTGCACGTCTCGTGAACAGGGATGTCTCGTAAACTGAAATACTATTATAATGCGTTTAGCGTGCTCGCACGAGCGGCTATGTTAATTATAATTTTATAATATTACTTCCTGCATATATTATGCCATTAAATTTTCTTTGCTTAGAATTCCCTTAACGGGACAGTGAAAAATGTTCCCGGCACCGGCAACCACTGGGAAACACGATGGCGCATGGCAGAGAGCCAGATAAATATTGCTGCGAATCGTGTAACCTGTGAACATCAGTGTATTCTTCCTGTGTTTCGATAATGAAAACATCCTCGTGTTTGGAATTTATTCGTTAGGCGATAGGCACCGTGTGAATTAAGTGATTTATGACCGAGTTGATGATGTTTCCGTTATTCGGGATTTTGGAATTCTTTTGATGGAATGGTTTTTGAGATTGGATCGACTGATCAGCGAACAACTGATTTAGTTAGCCTTCTTAACTAGATCATCAAAATTATCATGTGATTATCGTAGATTTAAATAAGTCGTCGTGTACAATCAGATCATGTTGAATCTTCCTAATGGAACGATACAAATTGCCATAAATACAGGGTGGTTGGTAACTGGTGCTACAAGCGGAAAGGGGGTGATTCTACGCGAAAAAAGAAGTTGAAAATATAGAATAAAAATTTTTTTAAATTTTCTTTTTTAATTTTTTCATCGAGACGATCTACAGTGAGATCCGTTATAACGAGACGTGATAAAGTGCACGCGTACCGAGCGAAAATTCAAAGTCGATTTTCTCGAAAACAAAGCCTCAAACGAAACATTTTTATTCTATATTTTCGACTTCTTTTTTCGCGTAGAATTACCCCCTTTCCGCTTGTACCAACCACCCTGTATATTGCAATAAGTTTCTTCAGGTGTGTAACTGATTCGTGGAAACACTGATTCTATCGTTACACTCGTTTCACTCTCTCACGTTTCGCATCAATTTTCTTTGTAATTTTCAATCATAAATTTATAATAATTGCTCTAATTACAACAATTTTCCTCAAGTCTTTAACCAACGAAGATATACGCGCGATATTTAGAAAAACCGATTCCACTCCTCGCTCGTTTCATTCTCTTAGGCACATCCATTTTCTTCGCAATTAACCAGTCAAAAAGGGCAATGTTCTTCCCACTTTTCAACCATAAACTTATAATGCTTGTCCCCGATTACAACGATTTTCCTGGAATAGCAGGAGCTAATGAAAACGTACATGCGATATTACAAAAACTTCTTAATTACATCCATTTGATCGAGCCATAAAAATTTCAACCATAAATTACAATCTCTTTTCCGCCCTGCAGAGAATCCACTAGGCGCTTAATCATTCCTCCGTTTCATCCTCCATCTTTAATCCTCGAAACGAAAATAAAAGGAAGAAATTACGCTCCTTCGGGTTGCGTCAGCTGAAATTCTCGAGCCGGTTTCTCGATTAGCAAGCTCGAATCAACAGTTGTAGCTACGAAGAGCACGGTATAAATGGTACCGCGTAGAATTACGAGCGGTTATGGCGGCATAATAAAGAAGGGTCGCTCTGCGGATTCGGCCACAATGCCGACCCGCTAGGTTGCGCCTCGAGAATTTGTGGTTGTCGGCAAACGCGTAATTAGTTTAAACCGAGTAACGCGGTAATTAAGCCGGTTTAACTCCTTTATCAAGACGGCGGCCTGCGGCTTCTCGGCCACCTCTTCTCGTCGTCCACGAGAATTCGCCTTCTGACTCGAGCTAGGTGACTTGCAACGCTCGTGGACACATTTCTAAAGGATGAAAGACAACGAAGCTTTGATATCAGGAAGATTCGATATTAATGTTTCAGGAGCAAATGTTCCATTCCAGTTGTCTCTGTATGTTTTATTAAAAAAAAAAAAAAAAGAATCTTGTAGAATGGTTTGTATAAATAAATTTTCAAGAATTTATCATTTTTATGTCCAAATATCTGACGAAGATACGTTCTTTGGTATAAGAGAATAGAAACAATTGGAAAATTGGTTAATTAATACCGATGGATTGTTCCTTGGTGATAGGAAAGAAGGTGCATAATACGCGTGATATGCGAAAATATATGAGATATGATGTTCGTTGGATTAACAAAATTTTTCCTCAAGTTCCATTTCTTTTGTTGTAGCGATAAAAATAAGAAATTGCACAAACATTCGCGGTCTAATTGTTGACAACAGAAAGGTTCAAAATCAACTCTATCCAAAGCAAATATATCGATCCTTTACTTACTCGATAACTTCCGAAACCATAATGTTGGCTGTAAACAACGTGTACTAGCATCTCTTCAGTCTGTTAAATAGAAAGTTTTTGTCGAAACCGCGAGACTAAAATTGTTACTTATCAATTATTCGATCGGTTCGATAACGTCAGAGTCGATTGGCCACGTAATCTCGATACCTGCTTCCGGGAACGAATTAATTCGCGCGTGCGTTCGATTGCATTCGTGCAATTTCGTTCGCTCGATGAAACGAAACCGCTGGTCGTAATTAATCGAGCATCGTTACAGATTGTTAATCGACGATTTAATCCCTGGCTTGTTTTGATGGGAAACGAATGGTTCTTTATCCGTTCTTTAAATATCTTGAAATTTGTCCTCGATATGAAATATAAATGACTATTGTTTCATATTTGTTTTAATCGCACAATTTTGGACTAATTTTTTGATCTTATTTTGTTCATATTGTTTACAATATGTTTCCCATTTATGTCATGTACAGTGAAATGTTAAACATTAGACATTTGTTAGTTGAAATTGAATCTGTAGCGGCACATGAGTTAGAGGACAATTCAAATCACGTTGTTGTTTTGCCTCGGGACATTGACACAGCCCTGACGCATGAAACGTAATGATAAATAAACTCCGGGCAAAACAATGTCGCCGCTACATGTAACCGTCGAATAAAGACGAATTTGAATTTTCTGACTTTCCCCTGACCAGTATAAATAAACGAAAGCGATCGCGGGCGAGTAGTTATTATCCGAGTTATTATCTGAGTTATTATTCGAGTTATTATTCGAGTTATTATTCGAGTTATTATCAGAGTTATTATTCGAGTTAGTATCTATCAGTATCTACGAGTATCTTTCTGTATCGACGAGCTATCTACCGAGTTATCGACGATTATCTAGCGAGCATTTACTGTTAATGTGTTAATTAGCTTTTTGTTTACTCAAATCCCTCACCAAATCTCGCTGATTAATTTTTTTAATATATTAAATTACATTCTATTAGGTAATCGAGTTAGACCTGGATCAATTACCAGAAATAGATGGGATTCTTGATAATTTACGTCAAGGACGTCTACGACTTAATATTTGGGTCAATTTGGCTGTAGGTACCTCAAATTATAATAGATATAATAGAAAAGCTACAAGACATTAAACATATTGTATTATAGCTTGAATATTACAAACAACATAAAATCGAACATTTCATTAAAATACTTGAATCTTCTTGGATTGATGCTGCTATTGATTATTGTAACTATGAACAAGATCAAATGCGTGCGTTGGATATGTTGGCTGCATATTATGTGCAGGAAGCCAACAGAGAAAAGGATAAAGCCAGAAAGAAAGATCTATTTGCAAAAGCCACTCTATTATATACAACTGCAGATAAGATTATTATGTATGACGAGGTATATATCATTTTTAATATTTTATTTGATGCCTGGAAATATTTATGTATTATTTATATAATACTTCCTTGTGCTATAGAATCATTTACTTGGCAGAGCTTATCTCTGCCTCCTGGAAGAGGATAGGATGGCTCAGGCTGATGCCCAATTTAATTTTGTACTAAGTCGGTCTCCAAATAATATTCCTTCCCTACTGGGAAAAGCATGCATAGCGTTTAACAAAAGAGATTACAGAGATGCGCTTGCTTTTTATAAAAAGGCATTGAGAACAAATCCAAATTGTCCAGCTGCTGTGAGGTTGGGGATGGCGCATTGTTTTATGAAATTAAATAACCAGGAAAAAGCGTATTTAGCATTTGAAAGAGCTTTACAGTTAGATGACCGATGTGTTGGAGCATTAGTTGGACTTTCAGTACTGAAACTGAATCAAGGACAGTCTGATAGTATCAAAGCTGGTGTTCAAATGTTATCAAGAGCTTATATCATTGACTCAACTAATTCCATGGTGTTGAATCATTTGGCAAATCATTTTTTCTATAAAAAGAACTATATTAAAGTACAGAACTTAGCCCTCTATGCATTTCAGAATACTGCGAACGAGGTTATGCGTGCAGAAAGTTGCTATCAATTAGCCAGAGTATTTCATGTTCAAGTAAGTGTACGATATAAGTAAGTTTACATATATACATACTTAAAATTTTGAAAAATAATTTAACTATTTCAGGCTGACTATGACCAAGCGTTTCGATATTACTATCAGGCAATACAATTTGCGCCTCCAGTTTTTGTATTACCATACTTCGGTTTAGGTCAAATGCATGTTTATCGTGGTGATGCAGAAAATGTAAGCATAACGTGTTATATATATTATTATATACTATATATGATAGGGTAAAACTAATAAATTTTACATACACTGTTTTTAAATCACAGGCAGCGAAATGTTTCGAAAAGGTGTTGGAAGTGCAGCCAAATAATTATGAAACAATGAAAATTCTTGGATCTCTTTACGCAAATTCAAGTTCTCAATCCAAACGCAACATTGCTAAAAACCACCTTCAGAAAGTAACTCAACAATTTCCGGATGATATTGAAGCATGGATTGAATTGGCTCAAATATTGGAGCAAAGTGACCATAATGCCGCCTTAAATGCATATGGTATGGTAACTCGGATTTTAAAAGAAAATGTCCAGGCAGATATACCACCAGAAATTCTAAATAATGTTGGTGCTCTACATTATAGGTATGTTTCATATTTCCTTATTTTAATTTATTTTATCTGCTATCAAGGTTAAAACTTATTACTTTATCACAGACTTGGAAACTTTGAAGAAGCTAGGAAAAATTTTGAGGAATCTTTAACGCGTTCCAAAGCTGATGTCTTACACGATCCTGTATACTATAACTCAATTACAGTTACGACGACATATAATTTGGCTCGTTTGAACGAAGCTTTATGTATATTTGATAAAGCAGAAAACTTATACAAATCCATTTTATGGAAACATCCAAACTATATAGATTGTTATTTACGACTTGGCTGTATGGCTCGAGATAAAGGACAAATTTATGAAGCGATTGATTGGTTTAAGGATGCTTTAAGCATAAATAACGAGCACCCAGGTGCATGGTCTCTTTTGGGTAACTTACATTTCGATAAAATGCAATGGGGCCCTAGCCAGAAGAAATTCGAAAGAATTTTAACAAATCCAGAAACAAGTACCGATGCCTATTCTTTGATTGCTTTGGGTAACATTTGGTTGCAAATGTTGTATCAAAGTAGAAAAGATAAAGATCAAAAGAAGCGATATCAAGACAGAGCATTGGCTATATATAAAAAGGTATGATACTAAAAAATAATAAATCTTCCTATTCGTATATACATATATAGATATTGAAATTCATAGGTTTTGCAAAACGATCCTAAAAATATTTGGGCTGCAAATGGAATAGGAGCTGTACTAGCGCATAAAGGTTGTGTAAATGAAGCTAAAGATATTTTTTCTCAAGTTCGAGAAGCAACAGCAGAATTTTGCGATGTATGGTTGAATATTGCGCACATTTATGTAGAGCAAAAACAATTCTTTAACGCTATCCAACTGGTAACTTTCCGTTTTGTATGTAATACGATATGATAACGTTTCGGCATCTATTTTATAAAATATATCTTTTTACAGTATATAAACTGCCTTCGGAAGTTCTATAAATACCATCATGTCAAAGTTTTGCAATATCTTGGAAGAGCTTACTTTAAAGCTGGTAAATTAAAAGAAGCAAAATTGACATTTTTAAAGGTGAGCCAGAAACATTGTGTCATGCTCTGATATCGTTAATATTGATTAAAGAAGAATAACTAATCAATTTCATTATATCAATTTAGGGAAGAAGAGTAGCTCCACAGGACACTGTTTTGTTATACAATGTTGCACTTGTCCTTCAATGTCTAGCGACACAAATTTTGAAGGATGAGAAGTCCACATTAACAACAGTGCTCCAGGCAGTTTACGAATTGCGAATCTCACATAAATACTTCCAATATCTATCAACGCATGAAGGTAAAATTTGGCAACTTGCGAAAGCAAAAGCAAAGTGCTGTCAAGATCTTTTATCGCAAGCGCAATATCATGTTGCCAGAGCTAGACAATGGGACGAGGAAGAAAAAATGTTTAGGAGAAAACAAGAAGAAGAAAGGTAATTATATCAACATAATTAGCATATGGAATACATCAAACATCATAATGATGATCTTGTATTAATGTATAGACAAGCATTTAAAATGCGACAAATGGAAGAACTACGGAGACTTGAAGAAATGCAACGACAAAAAGAACAGGAAATGTTACAGAAACGTTTAGAGTACGTTGAAAAGACAAAGAACGCTTTGGTATTCGATGCAATGTCTTCGGAAAAACCTGGAAGGAAAGGAAAACAAGCACGCATTGATCAATACGTTAGTGACAGTGGTAGTTCTGGAAGAGAGGAAAGTCGGGAGGAAGCTCGTAGACAAAGGAAACGCAAAAGAAAAGCAAGTGAACGTAAAGAAAACAGGGTCAAGGGTAAAGTAATGCGCAAGAAAAAGATGGGGAGTAGAGAAAGTGGTAAGATAGTATTTCATGATCTTCGATTATACGCATCATTAATTTGCGTTTTTCAAAAAATATATATTTTATTTTGCAATATTCAGGTTCAGAAAGTGATCGACTCAAGCCGAAACGTGGAAGAAAAGGGATTATTAAGAAAGACAGAGCATTTTGGAGAAGTACAGCTGAGACTGCAAAGAGAAAGATGCCTTTATCGAAGGAAATTATATCAACGAGCGAATCTGATAGCGATTTAGGAGGTTTTAAAATTGCCAACCGGTAAGGATCATTCATTTTATGAGAATGAGGTGGTTTATTATACGTGTTGGGTGGTTTATTAAAGAGATGCGTGATAAAATTGTAATAGTTAGTGTATATTAAAATCACTTTAAGTACAAGTACACAGATAGTGTATGTCGGTCGTTATCGTCGCTCGCTCAGTGCTACTGTTCAACTTTACCCTCGTTATTCGACTGTATAACTCGCTATAATCATTCGCTATAATGATTCGCTATACTAATTCGCTATACTAATTCGCTATACTAATTCGCTATACTGATTCGCTATACTAGTTCGTTATACTAATCGTCCTAGAGGGCATGTTCGTCTATCGACCGATAGTATCACAAAAAGATTAAATGTAACTCCGGTTGACGATTACAAATAACGGCGATAATATTTTGTCCGGAGTTCGTTTACCTTTGAACCTAGCCAACCAAAACAACGTTGACTCATGTGCCGCTACAAGAATATAATATACTGAGATATGTAATAAATAAATTAATGGCGTCGTTAATTTGTTTTTCAGAGGTAAAAGCCGTAACGGAGGTCACGTACGCAGAAACAGACGAATTATGTATCACTTAGAAGAATCCCGTACATCGAAATCTAGGTCTCGTTCCAGATCGAAATTTAGAAGCCGTTCTAGAAGTAGTTCACGATTGGGATCACGATCACGATCACGATCAGGAATTCAATCTCGATCCGTATTTCGTCCACGGTCTAGATCTCGTTCAGGTTCCAAGCTGAGAAGTCAATCGTGTTCGAAAAGTCCGTCGAGATCCAGATTCGTTGCAGAGAAAAGTGGTCCACGCCCGACATCAAGATCAGGGTCGTGGAAGAGGCAATCGCGATCAAGATCGCGTAGTGGTTTGAGGGAAAGTGAATCGCAGCCAAGATCAAGGCCGGGTTTTGTAGCTAGTGCACGATCAAGATTGGGTTCTGTAGCTAGTGCACAATCGAAATCAGGCTTTGCACGTAGTACACGTTCGAGACCGGGATCTACAGCTAGTACACAATCAAGATCGGGTTCTGCAAGTAGCGCGCGATCAAGATCGGGTTCTCCAGCTAGTGCACGATCGAAATCAGGCTCTCCACGTAGTGCACGTTCGAGATCGGGATCTGCAGCTAGTGCACGATCAAGATCGGGCTCTCCAGCTCGTGCACGATCGAAATCAGGCTCTGCACGTAATGCACGTATGAGATCGGGATCTGTAGCTAGCGCACGTTCCAGATCGGGATCTGCAGCTAACGTACATTCGAGATCGGAATCTGCAGCTAGTGCACAATCAAGATCGGGTTCTGCAGGTAGCGCACGATCAAGATCGGGCTCTCCAGCTAGTGCACGATCGAAATCAGGCTCTGCACGTAGTGCACGTTCGAGCTCGGGATCTGCAGCTAGTGCACGATCAAGATCGGATTCTGCAGCTAGTGCACGTTCGAGATCAGAATCTGCAGGTAGCGCACGTTCGAGTTCGGGATCTGCAGCTAGTGCACGTTCGAGATCGAGTTCTGCATCTAGCCCATCATCAAGATCGGGTTCTGCAGCTAGTGCACGATCGAGATCAGGATCTGCAGGTAGCGCACGTTCGAGATCGGGATCTGCAGCTAGTGCACGTTCGAGATCGGGTTCTGCATCTAGCCCATCATCAAGATCGGGTTCTGCAGCTAGTGCACGATCGAGATCAGGATCTGCAGGTAGCGCACGTTCGAGATCGGGATCTGCAGCTAGCGCACGTTCGAGATCGGGATCTGCAGCTAGTGCACGATCAAGATCGGGTTCTCCAGCTAATGTACCATCAAAATCAAGCTCTCCACGTAGTGCACGTTCGAGATCGGGATCTGCAGCTAGTGCACGATCAAGATCGGGTTCTCCAGCTAATGTACCATCAAAATCAAGCTCTCCACGTAGTGCACGTTCGAGATCGGGATCTGCAGCTAGTGCACGATCAAGATCGGGTTCTCCAGCTAATGTACCATCAAAATCAAGCTCTCCACGTAGTGCACGTTCGAGATCGGGATCTGCAGCTAGTGCACGATCAAGATCGGGTTCTCCAGCTAATGTACCATCAAAATCAAGCTCTCCACGTAGTGCACGTTCGAGATCGGGATCTGCAGCTAGTGCACGATCAAGATCGGGTTCTCCAGCTAATGTACCATCAAAATCAAGCTCTCCACGTAGTGCACGTTCGAGATCGGGATCTGCAGCTAGTGCACGATCAAGATCGGGTTCTCCAGCTAATGTACCATCAAAATCAAGCTCTCCACGTAGTGCACGTTCGAGATCGGGATCTGCAGCTAGTGCACGATCAAGATCGGGTTCTCCAGCTAATGTACCATCAAAATCAGGCTCTCCACGTAGTGCACGTTCGAGATCGGGATCTGCAGCTAGTGCACGTTCGAGATCGGGTTCTGCATCTAGCCCATCATCAAGATCGGGTTCTGCAGCTAGTGCACGATCGAGATCAGGCTCTGCAGGTAGTGCACGATCGAAATTAGGCTCTCCACGTAGTGCACGATCGAAATTAGGCTCTCCACGTAGTGCACGTTTGAGGTCGGAATCTGCAGCTAGTGCACGATCAAGATCGGGTTCTCCAGCTAATGTACCATCAAAATCAAGCTCTCCACGTAGTGCACGTTCGAGATCGGGATCTGCAGCTAGCGCACGTACGAGATCGGGATCTGCAGATAGCGCAAGATCAATATGGGGCTCTGCAGATAGCGCAAGTTCGATATGGGGTCCTGTAGCTAGCCTACTACCAAGATGGGGTTCGCCAGCTAACGCACGCTCAAGATCGAGATCTGCAGATGGCGCAAGATCAATATGGGATTCTGCAGCTAGCACACGATCGGAATCAGGCTCTCCACGTATTGCACGTTCGAGATCGGAATCTGCAGCTAGTGCACGATCAAGATCGGGTTCTGCAGATAGCGCAAGATCAAGATGGGGTTCTCCAGCTAGCTCACTATCGAGACCAGGCTCCGCACGTAGTGTACGTTTGAGATCGGGTTCTGTAGCCAGCGCACCATCGAGATTAGGCTTCGCACGTAGTGTACGTTTGAGTTCGTTTTCTGCAGCTAGTGCACGATCAAAATCAGCTTCTGCACGTAGTGCACGTTTGAGATGCGGATCTGCAGTTACTGCACGATCAATATTGGGTTCTGCAGATAGCGCAAGATCAAGATGGGGTCTTCCAGCTAGCGCACTATTGAGACCAGGCTACGCACGTAGTGCACGTTTGAGATCGGGTTCTGTAGCTAGCGCACTATCGAGATCAGGCTCCGCACGTAGTGTACGTTTGAGATCGGGTTCTGTAGCTAGCGCACTATTGAGATCAGGTTCCGCACGTAATGTACGTTTGAGATCGGGATCTCTAGCTAGCGCATCATCGAGATCAGGCTCCGCACGTAGTGTACGTTTGAGATCGGGTTCTACAGCTAGCGCACTATTGAGATCAGGTTCCGTACGTAGTGTACGTTTAAGATCGGGTTTTGTAGCTAGTGCGCGATCAATATCGGGTTTTACAGATAGCGCAAGATCAAGATGGGGTCTTACAGCTAGCGCACTATTGAGACCAGGCTCCGCACGCAGTGTACGGTTGAGATCGGGTTCTGTAGCTAGCGCACCATCGAGATCAGGCTCCGCACGTAGTATACGTTTGAGATGGGTTTCTGCAGCTAGTGCACGATCAATATCGGGTTTTGCAGATAGCGCAACATCAAGATGGGGTCTTACAGCTAGCGCACTATTGAGACGAAGCTCCGCACGTAGTATACGTTTGAGATCGGGTTCTACAGCTAGCGCACGTTTGAGATGGAGTTCTGCATCTAGCGCACGATCAAGATTGGGTTCTGCAGCTAGTGCACGATCAAGATCGGGTTTTGCAGCTGGAGTACGATCGAGATCAAGGTCTACTGGTGGTTCCAGAAAAGTAGCTTCGCGATCAAGGTCAAGATCATAATCAGGATCAAGGAGTGGTTCACAGTCGGGGAGACGTATATCAAGAAGCAGAAGCCGATCAAAATGTAAATCTGTGTCAAGATCTAGATCGCGTTCCGGCTCACGGTCAAAGAGTGGCTCTTGAAGTCGCAGCGCTACTGGATCAGCAAGGTAAATAAAAAGAACATCAAAATACACTCACCGAAACGAAATATAGCTCCCGTGATACCGTGATGGTCACATATTGCGTTTATTTTATTCCAGCTCTGCTACTCTAGAGTCGAGAAAATCAGTTTTGAGCAGTGATGTTGGTTCCCGCCAATCGAGTACAGATCGAGGAGGTGGCAACGAAAGCGAATAAACGCGGAAAATCCAACCTTGGATTACTTTTTGTAAGAGCCAAATTTATAAAAATGAAATATATATAACTTTCGCGATATATTTGTTAACACACGTTTGAAAGGACCGTTCGAATTGAAACAGGATTGTTACGCTAAGATGGCAATTGGCAATCGTTCGAGCTTACGAGTAGCTTCGATTTATCGATCTCTAGAATTAAACGATCTCTAGATGGAGCGACTTCAGTGTTTCGGACGTAATATTTCGGACAATTGAATATTTGTTTTATGTTCGAGGGTTATAAGAACACCCCGTAGTTTTAGTCGAAACCGTGTGTTTATGTTCTTCACATTGCATTTAAAGCGAAGTATTATTTCACGATACAAGGTAATTTTATGTAAAATTATTACGATTTTATCTAGTTCAATGCACAAACCGTTTTGCTTTCTAATTAGTTATCTGTTGATACCTTGTATGATAAACAAATAGTTTTAATTGTTATTGTACACTCACATTGTTTAATATAAAAGAAGATATGTTAGGGTTGTGTTAACAACCAATGTATTGTTTTATATCAAAAATTATAAATAAAAGATTATAAAAATTGACGTTTTTATTATGTCTCTCTGAAATGTATTACACAATTAAAATATTTTATATATGCACGATTAAAGTTTTTTATGTATCAATAAAAACAGTTACATGAAACAAATGATTAAAGTTTTGTAGAGGTTAATAACATTGGTGCCACTTCATATGTCATTACGTTGTCATTACATATTATGTTCAACAGTCAATCAACTTAACAACGTATTTATAATGCTTTTTAATTCAGTTTTTTCTACTAGACATTCATCTAGATCGTCTGAACTCCTTTCTGGATATTTTCGATCCGGTTTCTAGAACACATTTATAATTGTCTTCTATTTGTATACCTGCATGTTTGGTACTTAGAAGGAGGACTCTTACGTTAGGTTTACTTTTATACGCAGTAAGCGTGCAGTTTTCTGATTTATATAAATTTGAGGAAAGCAAAGTCATCTTGTCCTTTTTTCTCTTGAGCATCGAGTTTCATCTTTCCCCGTACAAGGGAAACCATTCAAAATATGTTTTGTTTGGACGTCAACTGCAAACCAAAATCTAATGCCAAATTTATGAGGCTTATTCGGCATATATTGCGTAAACCTGCATCGGGTTTTCGTTGGAAATAATTGTTCATCTATTGAGATATTTTCATATGGCTTGTAACAAGCCTGGCTATTACTTATAAGTCTGTTCCATATTTCGGATATCAGCGCAAATTTATCTGTTTGTAATCTTTCGGAGGCTTTCAATGATCTCGCTTCATACGCGTCCCGGGCATATAGAATTCCTAGAAAATTACGTAACTTAGCAACTGTGATTGTCCGTCTTTTTTCAAAACTCGATGCGCCTCGGTTTCAGTGCAATCTTTTATCTGGTTCCATTATGTGTCTGCCAATTATCAATTCGAAAGTACTAGTTACACAGCCCGATATAATATTTCTCTTAGCACAGCCAGTAGGTCCTGCGATATCCTTGAATATCATACGAACGGGCGTCCTACCTCTAGATCCGTCTGCTTTCAGTTTTATCCACTGTGTCCCATCAATCGCAATTTCAATTTCACCCATTACATTTTGGGATGTGCTTGGAATGCTCGTTGTTTCATCCTCGGAGTCAGAACTAGAAGAAAATATGCATCCTTTTCTTGTTACGATACACTTTCAAGAAGTTTTCCTCTTCATTATCCGAAGATCCTTCTATCTCTCCACTTTCAGTGTATTCACAACTTTCACTGTCAGCTTCGCTTTGGCCTAATTCGTATTGATCTTCTTCGGAGGTATCCTCAGAACAATCTTCATTGATATTGACAATTTTGTTCAATATCTTATTATATTATTATCTTATTATATTATATATCTCCTGGAATTAGTCATGATTGCTAGAAAAGGTGGATTGGTTAAAAAAAAGAAAATACTGTGCCCAAATTCAATTATCCTATTGTAAATACTTACAATAAGCGAAGACAATAATGGGAAATGTCTACAATAACTGAAACTTTTGCACACTGTCTTTGAAAAACGATTTGTTTATGAAATCAGCTAGCTCGTCAATTTGACGAGTTTCGTAGAGATAGGTACACTACATACAGATTTAGAAAGATTAGAAAGCCTAGAAAAAAATAATTGTGTGTATAAATTCCTTAGATGAAATGATTAATGTACGATGAAAAATGGTTAAAATTAATGCTATGGTTTTTCGGATGTTTCATTTCGAAGTTTAAAATCCATCAAATTGACGGGTCCCGTAAACCTAGTGTTAAACATCTTTCTTTCCTCAGGGAGGAAGATTAAGGTATTAAAATAAAATGAAAAAAAGAAAAAAATTGCTGCTTTTATGCTGAGAGAGAAATTACTCGAAATATTCTCGCTGAATTTTTCAAGCACTGTGCTTTGCAATAATTTTACGGTAGAAGAAATACGCTCGTGACCCTTCTTTGCACGGAGAACACAATTTTCCCTGGAGATGGTTTTCGGGAACAGAGAAATTCGAATCGAATTTCGTTGCACACTGGCTAGAATGTTCATATTTATGTAAACTACTAGTCGCCCTCCTTTTCTCTATACTTTTCTCTGCGGACGCTCGCAAACTTACGTCTGAAATGTTTAAATTTTGAACAAGAATTCGCTACCAAATATTTCTTTTCTTTCCCTGTACATTTTCCAGGACTGTTGATACACACGTGTAACATATATGCGTAACAAATAGCATTCCAATATTTTATATATTTATCTCATCCAGGTTGAACACGTAGCACGAATTTTACATTTAACATCGCACCTTTCATATCATGTCCAAACTAATTTCCTAATAGTTTACCCTGCTACTTAATAAATTTAATAGATTCCTATCACAACGTGTATATTAGGTTGTCTGGAAAGCGTCTTTCCACGTGTTTTTTACAATACACCTTCATACAAACGTGAAACAAAGTCTGTGAAATGTCGTGGTGTTTATCTCAACAGAACAAAATGGATCGTATGTAATTCGACAAAATAATATAAAACAAAAAAAAAAAGATTGTGCGTCTATTATTTCCTCATAAAACGGAAGAAACTTTTCAGACAACCTAACACTTTCATATGGAATAAAATCAGCGAAAATATACCGCTCAGAACAAAATACTAAACATGTAGCTTCAATATTCCAACAACTCTAATAATTCGCTGTCTATCACATTTAATATTCGCAAGCTATAAACGCATCCCAAACAGCCACGATCAGACCGTAATTAGCCTACTCTAACTTCAAACAGATTCACGTCACGGATTAACCTCTGCACCCTTGCTAAACCTTGCTTTTAATGGACGTCGAACGAGAAAGGAGCAGAAGATAAAATTGCGAGAAACCAGGCTGCGGTAGAATAAAACAAGAAGTCTCTTTTAGCTTCTTGGGGGAAAATGCTCTTTCGAGAAGACCCGGGGACCGAGAGAAAAAGCACTCGTCTTTTCACATTATGCCGGATGGATTTTCGTCTGTCCGACCACAGTTTCAACGAGTTCTTATCGCGGCCACCATCGCCGCTACGCCGACGCGTACCATGGGTTTTCACGAGGACGTTTCGAGTGCCTTTCGCCAGTTTTGAGGTCTCGTTTGAGGCTGACGATAGAACGCGCGAAACGAGGGAGACCGGCCACGTTACGAGCCTTAGCCAAGTGAATTTACGCGCCACTGTTACGTGCCTTCGCGTTTCCCAAAGTTTATCCTTGACGAAATTGCTCGACTAAAACGTGCCGATAAGGTTTTAAAAGCCTGATAAGCCCCGTAAACGCTGGCCGGAGCCGCGGCGAATCATAGAAGCGTTTAATTCTTCGCTTTTAATTTCGCCGTTCGACGAAATGTTTATTCTTCTGCTTTATGGTGGATGCGCCGCATTAAAAAGTTAAAATCCATTAGGGTGGCTTAGGAAGTTTGCTATCGTTTAATTAGTACTTTGCCTTCATCGTTTCTCATTCATGTATATTAACGTAAGGGTATTATGTTTCATACATAATGCTATGGTATGTAATATAATAATATAAATATATATAATACATAATTAATGCGATTAACGTTTTAATAAAAAAAAAAAAAAGAAAATTTCGGGATTGGGGTCGAATTTAGCGACGTATTTAAATACTTTTCCTAATTATGTTTCAAAATTTCTTGCTGCCAAAAAAAGAAAAATTTTTTTAAATAGAGGCCAGGTGACAAGAAATAATCGAATTCGAAGTTATCGAATTCAAAGGCAATTTTTCGTTAGAAATGTTAGAAGGCAAAAAAAGAAAAAAAGAGAATGGATGGAGGAACGTAATCCAAAGTGCCGTGGAATTCTTTTAGTCGACTATTTACCAAAGAAGATTAAAATAAATGTTTCCTGATACAATATGTTTCACTTCCATGGAAATGGAATTTTCTCCCCCCGAGATCGAATTTTTTCGTAGAAAATGTTTCCTCCGATACCTTCTTCCCACTTTGAAGCAATGAAGCAAACAGCTCGACATTTGTTTACCATTCCTTTCATAAATCTAATTGAGATAAACATACGAAATTATCTTATTTACATTCTGTTTGCACATAAACGAACGTGTACGATTAATAAATAGCATCAAATATTTTTCTCTTTGCAAAGTACGAAGAATTCTGATACACGTTCGATCGTTACACAGTGACCTGTGATAGTTTTCGTACATCAAAAAATGTTATAAAATTTCATAGCTTTGCACAGGTACTAATTTACATACTTACTACATATATATACTGTATAGCCATATAAAAATAGTTTTATTTCAATAAAAATAGTTAGCCTTTTCATAAAGTGTACAAAGGCTTTTGTGGATAATTATAACTGAAAGGATATAAGATTTCCAATTCAGCTGTTAAATTCGTATCTTCCTAAATTCTTCGATCGACAGGGACGAGGGAGAAAGAAAAGCGGAAGCTTCGTTGGTAATGAACGTGCCAATCCGTCTTTAATCCAAGGCTTCTATATCGATCCGGCCCGTGAGAAGCACGAAACTTCGATCAGGTGCTATCATTGGGGAAAAAAAGTTTTGGTCCAAGCCCGGCAGTCTTTCGAACTCTTCTCTCTTTCTCTTTTTCTTTCTATGAAATTTTCGTATTTGAGGCGAAGGTTGTTTAACTTCGAACGTTTGCCGCGAGGGTACGAGAATTTATTTCGCTAGTTTTAAAAGAAAAGCTACAATTTTCGTTCAAATCATGCGTAACGACAAAAAATTAT